GTCTATTTCAGGACTGAATAACCTTAAGTACATTGTAGCTGTCAATATTTTGCAAGCCATTTCCCAGTATACACCCTTTCTTATATGAGTTGTTCCCTCACTGATATGGGTTCAAGCAACTGCAAAATCACAGAGGGATTTGTTTATAGGGACAGGGGGGCAAATACAAAGCTTTTTAGGAAAGGACCTCTGGAGGTGATTGAGCCCAAACTTCCATCAAAAGAAGGACTATTCATAACACCAGATCAGGTCACTAAAAAAGCAAGTGCTTGAGCACCAAACTCTACATTCACTGTGATGAAACCTAAAAAACTGTGGCAGGAACTTGGCTTCCATAAATCTCTACCCTGAGGAGGCTAAACTTGACTTTTTCACAATCAAGTCCATGTGTTGCCAAAGCACAGCCTGAAAGGGTTGTCAGATCCAGAAATAACTGGAATTTTCTTGCTGTAAACTCTTTTATTGCTCCTCCTGCCCTTTCTCTTTAATGCACAGGGAACAGAAGCCAAGGTAAATCTACTCTACATGAACCTCCCTCCCCCTGTCAGAAAGGAAGTGATACAGTGAGAAATGAGAAGTATCCAAAAATGGTCCTGCTTTCTTAGGCAGCCAGAGCTAATGTAGTTGCTTGTTACATATAAAAATGGAACAGGAGGCACAAATCAAAACAGACAGACAAGCGTGAAAGAAAGAACAGAAACACAGAAGCAGCAAACCAAATCAAAACATGGAATAGCCATCCTGGCAGAAAAACTGCTGCATGTCAAAGCAGCTCGCTTGCTTTCTGGCTCTCATAAAGACGGCAGGGAATACCCAACATACTATATATACATTTAATGTACAATGTAAGAAAAAAATTGCTGGGAAGGTATCATTTATTTGAACATTTTAAACTCATCCAGATTTCGGATTTCAATGACAAAAATCATAATGCCCATGGCATTGAGTGAACCAGTGCAGTTCAAAGCAGGGGGTTTGTAGAATGTATTTACATGCTGTAAGTGCAAGAGTGCTAGGAAGAAAATCCCCAAACAGCAGCTTTTCACAGATTTCCCTTTGATTTAACTCCAGGTTTGCAGATTTTCTGGGTCTTTTTAAAGGTTCTATTTTATCTTCCTGATTTGTTTTTGCTCCATTCATTGCACATAGGCAAAAAACCCCACTTTATCCAGGATATTAATTTCTTCACAAACATATACTGGGGAGAAAAAACAACCAAACAAAAACCCCACACCACTATGCACCTGTAATGCTTTCATGAATCTCAATTTTTAAAGAATTATCAAGGTATTTGATATCTAAAGATGCTGTGGTTTTTTACTTGTAATACTATGCAGGGTAAACACTTTGTCATAGGTTCCTGCCACAACCGTTTCATTTGTTTGCATTAGTTTTCTGTTGAACCATCCAACAATCCTGTTCAGTAATGGCCTTAGTCATCCTTTACTAGCATCACAGACCAAACCAGAATTTAATCTGCTATTTCCACTGGAAAGACAACCATATTCACATTAATTCATTATATTTTGTTCGGGGGTTTTTTTCAGTACTGAATACTATGTCAAACAATACACTGGGAAACCAAAGCTTTCAGGAATACCAGCTTAGTGAGCTAAGCTACTACAAAACACCCTAAATTTACTGCATTTGCAGGCTCTGTCTCACCAAACTGATGTTTCTTTTTAAAAACAGGCAGAATGTATACTGGATACCTCCATTAATAATGAAATACCAGCAATAATCACAGATATAGGGGGAAAGCAAGCTAAGTACCATACTACCCAGCACAGAATTGCAAAATTCACTGACCTCCAAGTTGAGAGGCACAATCAGCTCTACATGAGCAATTAGCCACATTCCTCTTCTTGCCTAATGTCAGCGTAACCTCATTAAACCTAATGTTTCCTTCGCGTTTGTCTTTAGCACATTGTTCTGATCATAGTTTCATTGTTCTCTGAGCCACTTAAAAACGCATTACACATCTAGGACCAGAGTACAATCATTACACTACATCTTCAAGAGCTATTCATGTATAAGTCAATGATTTTCTCTCTGAATTAGCTTACTATTCACAGGATCTGGTCTACAGGCTCTTTTTTCTTAAATCATAAAGAGATTGGTTATGCTTGGAAAGGTAATGCTCACTGTAGTTAAATTCTAACAGAAACCTTTAAAATGTTATTTTAGCATATTAAGTGCATTTATCCTGCTTGTTTACAGGACATACAAAGGTTACAGCCAGAGTAGTCAGAGTGGAGACAAAACCTGCAAAGCTAAAAGCAGAACCTAAAACTTTCAAGATTTCATCTAATTACCGATGAACTTTCTCCAACAAAATCTCTTGTGCCACAAAATGGCATAAACCAATTTACCCTTCGTCCATTTTCATTACTTAGATCTGAAGCCATTAGCAAATCCATTCTTTTTTTTTTTTTTCCCCAAGATTCACACTCTTAACAGTAATGAAAAAATGATACAAGTTCTACTCCAGGGCTCTGCTTATCAATTCCATTTTCTTCATTCCTAAATAACATGAACTAGCTATGTCTGCAGTGGATTGATCAGTAAAATCCCTCAGGAATTTTAAAGTTGCATTTGGTTTTACTTTTTCAACCAAACCCAAAAGATTTTGCAGCTTCAGTAGGGATGTAAGAACAGAAATCCAGTTATAATCCCCTGCAAACACTGCAGTTTTACACTATCAAAGGTAAACTAGGTATGATTCCACAGATGAAATTATACATGAATGAACAGTTAAATACCACTGTGCAAAAAAAGTAGATGAGCTGGATGAGAAGATGCTATGTGTACGCTCTGAACACACTTCAACTGACAGGGATGCTTGTTGCTGGAGATCTGTTACTAGTCATCAACATAACCTTCAGGAGAGGAGGTACTCAACATTTTCTTTAGTATAGTTGATGAATAACACCTCCACTCCATGGAAACATACACAATATAGCATTGGTGGGCAAATGCTGAAGGCAAGAGAAGACTAGAGCAGGATAAGCAATAAGAATTGCAGCAAAAGCAGAGGTTTTTATAGCTAAGAATATTAGCTTCCACCACGCAGAGCAGTATCAGCATGCAAAAGCTCTCGGTCTACATTACGTTGTGTTACTGACACAACTTGTTTATATTAAAGTATGTCAACATTTGCCTGTTTGGGGAATTTTTCAGAAAATTAATAAAAATATTATTGGCATATAAGAAAAATACCAGGGGTTACCTGCTGAGAGGTAATAGAAAACTGTGCAACTCCTTCACAGTAAGCACACAGTGCTCAGGGTCTAACTTAACTTGCTTACATCTAGCAGTAAGTTTGAAGACAGCAATCAATCCTGGGCAGCCCCAGCATGTGTGTGACTGGCATCTGCAGAATGGTCCTGGAAATCACACACTCAAATGATTACCGCTTCTTGCTCTGTATTGGAACTGACCAGCACAGCTCTGAAGTTCTGAACATAGCACAGACACGGAGACCCCGTGAAGGCAAACCAGGCACTATGAGATTAAACAGAGCCTCAAGGTCATGTAGTAACTGTGATTTAAGTACTACCCTGCATGATGCTCTGTTACAGCTTATGACAGGTTTACCTTTAAACTAGTAAAAGAATTTTTACTTTTCAGCAAGATGCACTTCAAAGTAGAATTTGGCATCTGTATCACTATGCTGCAGTGGCATTGCTTTTTGCATTAAACTGAAAAACATTAGGTTTTTGTTCAATTATTTTGCCAACAATTTTTATATTCTGATAATTTTACCCTTGACTCTTACTTATTTTAAGCCTAGGTATTGACACACACCATCTTTTTTCAAATATCTGGATAAAGTGTTTGCCTCAGGGCCACACCAAAGCCTGTCTAACCTAGGGCTTCCTTTTTAGCCAGAGAGACTACAGACATAGTGATACTGTAGATTCAGATCTCAATAACTGAGCTGCAGTATGTAAAATATGTGTGAAAGATTTGGAAAAGATAGGCTCAAGTCCTGCAAAATCCCTGTAGGTAAGCCCCAATACTCTGACCTCAGTAATTACCTTTATTAGTCATTGCTACTTTTAAATAGACTTGTCAAGGATATACACTATTTTCTTACTTAAGCAGTAATGGAGAGACTGTTGGACATACACAAGACAAGAATACAGTACAGTCCAGACAGGACAGTGTCACACTGACTTTATCTGAGAACTGCACATTACTAGAAAGATATTTATTAGTCATTTACCATCAAATAAAAAGAAATTGTATGTGGTACAAAAACCGTATGCACACGCATATACACAAAATGTGAATAACTCTAAAGTAGATCATGTCACTTCTTCCATGACTATGCAGCTCAAATAGTAAACCTAATACTGGCAATGTCATTTCCACCTACGCCTTTGTCATTGTCAGTAGTGTATTTTTTGTCTACCTACTCTCACCCAAAATCATTACAGACTTTTTTTCATACAAACACGCCCATATGTCAACCAGGTGAGACAGTAACACTGAAATAACAACCTGAAGAACCCTTTCGAGAATGTTATCTCGGTTTTGTTGAATTGATTTACAAAATGCCTACTTGCATCTCTAATTTATACACCTCAAGCCTCAGTAAGACTGGACAGAACTTACTGCAATTTAAGGCTCTTTCACCAAATTACATTACATGCAGACAGTCTAAAGAAATCACGTTGATGTAAGATGACTCTCATTTCTTTAACACAGCAGGAAAACACCAGCTATTTTTCCATCAGTACTCTTTTCCTCCTCTGCAATTTGAATGCTCTCCTTTTGGAAAAGACTCAGTTTTCAAATTTTAGCCCTCCTTCACTTCCAGGTTATACATGCCAAAGCAAGACCAGACCACTCACATTTTCCAATCTCACAAAATTCTCAAGAAATTACTTTCAGGCTCTTTACAAAAATTCAAGGAAATTAAAAAAAAAGAAGAAAAGAAAAAGCTGTATTTTGCAGTCAATTCCACATCTGACATTCAGCTGCATGCAGCTAACCTTTGTGTTTCCCTTTTTTCTCCTTTCTGGTGCCGCCAGTCTGACAGCTCGCAGCTGCGGCCTTGGTTTTTTTAGTTGGTTTCGGAGCTTGGGCATCCACTACCACCTTTACATCTTCCTGCTCGGCCTCCTGCACTGCTTGAGAGATTCAGGGAACCCCACCATAAAGAAAACAGAGAGAGAAGAAAGAAACAAAGAGAGATGAGAGAATGATTTGAGAACTCTGTGAAGATATAAAAGCGTAAGCAGACATAGCAGAGTTTGTTTGGTATTTCAGACAATTCATGCAGACAGGAGAGTCAAATAAACCATAATTTGCAAAGCTACAGTAAACCTGAAAGTGCTAGGTTAGCTGGAATGTACTTCCTAACTTTTTTCCTCCTTCCAATAATCTATTAGCTTCTAACTTTCAGGCCAAAAGTGACATCAGAATATTAATGTGTTGCTGAGCTATTGTAGGAAGCACTTTTCCTCACAGTAAAGCTCTGCCAGACTGATCATCAACTGTGGCAGCATGAAGCCAGAAAAACTGTAGTTAGAGTTTGCACTGCCTGTGCTTAAACCTACATCTTAACCCTGAAAACAAGGAATCATTGGAAGGTTATTTTCAAAATACAGCTTGCACAGTTGTATATATCACAGTTCGATGAACAGAATGGCCATGAATTTTATGGTGAAACTACACCCAAGCCAAAAATATAAACTCCTCCTGTTCTGTAACATATGCAAAAACTAATTAATTCCTTAGAAGTCTCAATATAATATGCATGGCAAAAACTGTGAATGTCAGCATAATTCATGCAATGCCGATTGTTTTCAAAGTAAAAGGTTGCTTTTTCATTTTCTAAAAGCATGACACGCTTTGAGGTCAGTATTTGAATCTGTGAAAGCAACACTCACTAACTCTTTCTTCTGGCCAGGCCAAGCCTTGAAGTGAAATAATATTGAGTTTACAAAGTCATAAATGTAACTACCTTTGTGAAATACAATAAAATAATCATCAAACTTTACCCCCCTAAAGAAACAACTTGTAAGTGGGCACGAAGTGATGTTGGTGCCAGCTGCTGGTCATGGTCAGTTACTAAGCTCCATTGGCTTCATGTGATGACTGTGGTTCATCCCAGATGGAGACAGCCTCCCACCATCCCTTTCTTTTTCTCAAAACTAAAGTGCTCTATTTAAAAGGATAAAAACAGTTCGCTAAGGAACCTTACCAGAAAGAACTGGTTGTCCATAAAATTACTTTTAAAATATCCTGAGAAACTAAATAAACCCTCAAAAGGCCAAATGATGCTCAATGACATGTGGACTGCCAGTAATCTCTCTCTGAAGGTGGACATTCTACCTAGGCTTCTGGTCTGTGAGGCAATTTCCCTGTTCATCAGGAATCCTTCCTGCACATGAATAGCAATAGAAGCACCAAGGAAATTCTTAGAGGAGTAAGATGAAATGGATTTATCTCTGTGGAGACTGTAGCTTACAAACCCACACCTACCCTCTTCAGCACAGCAATCTGTCATCAGTAGCATTACATTCACAACACAAAGAGCATCTGAGGCACTCGATAAACACATGCTCCTTTTCTCATTACACAGCAGAAGAGTTCCAGATTTAGAGAAAATATACATTAAATTAGTAGAGGGGTGACTAAACGGCTTGTCACTGCCCAACACTTCATACGTGTCTTCATCATCCATTATTCACAAGACTGCAGTCCCTTCGCTGAGTGTAGAGGAGCACTGGAAATGAGTAAGATATAACCAAAGGAGTGAGTGCACAGGATGCTAGGGAAAACGTCACATTAAAGACAGTACACTGGGTCCTATTTTCATGGACATGGCAGCCTTGGGCTAAGCAGGGAACCAAAGAGTCTCCACTCCACAGTCTTTAAATGTGTGACTTACCAACCCAGCAATCTACCCTGCATTTGTAGCTTAGTCTCTCTTTAAAAAACAGGGATTCTTTTGTTTTGAAAATGCTAATCCACGTTATAATTAAATTCAGTACAAATTGCCTTTATTAAATGAGCAGACAGTTCTCTAAATCATTTTAAATATGGCCATATTCATTCACTCAGATGAAGCATCATTTACTTGGTCCAAAGCAATGATTAATCAGCAAAGGATGAAACATTCTGACACTGCTAATTGAAAAGCTAAAGACTTATCTTCACTATCTTGTCAGCCATCCTTTGATCTAACAACTAAAAGCCTGAAGCTTTTTGAATTACTTCTGTCTTATAACTTTCAGCAGGAGATCTCTGATTGCAAGTACATACATGATGGAGCTCCAAAATGCAGAGAAGGCAATGTTTTCATTGCTTTATAAGGCAGAGAACGAGATTTCAGTTCAGTAGCCATTCTGAGCATACACCATCAGTGTTCTCTCTGGTAAACAGGACTTCAAGTGATAGAGGCTTAAAAATAAGATTTAAACCATAAATGTGCAGATGCTGCAGCTGGGTTCATGAAAGGAACTGCCACAGAATTCCCTGCTCCTAAAGGATGCTTTTTTGAGCTTTACAATTACATTTAAAGCAGCAACTCTAAGATAAATCCAAATCTAATCCCAAAATACCATCTGCACCACAAAACCATCTTGTTCTTAGCTATTAATTATTCAGCAAATCTCAAGTAAGACTCATCTACTCACTAATGTTTTCTCTCGTGACTGCAGATACCACAGAAATTACGTATTTTTGCTACTGACTGTACAAATTCAGTTCAGGACAGAGCTTAATTCCTGGACATTTGGCTATGTATACGCATTTAAGCACAGGGTAAGCACTGGTCTCCCCTGCCTATAAGCACTAACCTCCTCATGGGTAAGTGCTGCCCACTGCATCGAGGCAGGAAGTGAAGTTCACAGTGCACAGTTCCTGCCAACAGGGCCAACCAATACTTTGATCCCTGCAGAGGAGTGGGCAATGGGCTGTCTTCTGAAGCCTGCCAACCTGCAGATAGGGCTCTGCAGACATTCCTTGTTTAGTGGGTCCAACAGATTTAGATGTGGAACAAAGTAAAAAACTCTGTTTTCTGTTTCCAGTGCTTTCTCCTGCCCTGGAGAGCTGTAAGAACAATCATTTCTAATATCCTCTGTACTCACTCAGCAGCTGGCCATTAGCATGTGGAGCTTTGAACTTACTGAACTAGAACTCCTAGTCTTTCTCTGTACAGATGAAGCAATTCATAGAGGTAATGTTTATCTCCAAGCATGTTGCAGGGGATCAAACATCTTCCCCTCTGCCCTTTACTACATTCTGGATCACTAAGTAACAGCCTGACAAGAATTTCCCTTCTCAGCAGATTGGGAACCTTGAGGCAAACTCTAACCTGCATTCTCCACAGCCTTTAGATAGCCCCATAAAACAGTTCCCTGCAAGAAAATCTGAATAGGAAAATCAGATAAACTGGCCTCCCTAGATAATATTTGCTGATATGACAGCAAATTACGTGCTTAGTTGGATGTTAAAGAGTTAAAAACAATGACAGGCAATAACAGAGGATAAAAAAAGAACCTTAAATGCAGCTATACAGGGATGAAATTTCAAAGCCTGTCACTCAAAAATGCATTCATTTCAGTACAAAAAGGAATTTAGAGAGCTTCAAACATCCTTGTGAGAGTTACCTTAAACAACAGAAGACTACATTTGAAAATCTAGCCTGATATTCCATGTGCTCCAACCCAAATTGTTAAAATCTTCACTTAAACACCTGACCCCCTCCAATATTTTCCTTTTCTATTAGAATTGTTCATTTGTACTAGAATTTGCATTTGGACAAGACAAAAATGGCGGAGCATGTGTTGTGGTGAGACAGAATTCCTAACAGCAAATAGCAATGAACTCTCAGATACTGTGTTTCATTCTCATTTCAACTCCTAAATTGTAAGAAATAGTTTTGACAAAATTGGGAAGCTTTCAAATACAACAAAGACATGATTTTAATTTTAGTGTTACTCATTCATGTTCATTAAATCAAGCATTGACTACTACCCTCAATACAGGATTAGGAAAAAAAATACTTTTGGGGAGATAGAAAACAGCACATAGTGCTATCTTAATTCAAGATCTGAGCTGGAAAGAGGAACAAACAAACAATCCATTAACAAGGTGAGTGTACAAGGACTCGCATCTAAGAGAAGAGCAGTAGCCTGTCTTTGCCCTGCATCACCAATGGGCTAACTGCTAAAAGTGGGGAAAAAGAAGCCACTCCCATGAAGCACTTCCATGTTGGACAGCACTGCGTGCTACAGGGAACAGGGATAAAGCTACAGTGCACAATCAAACAAAAAGATGCAATTTGTAAGGAAGTGACAAGTTCTGTATTATCTGTGACAGATAACACAGAATTGGAAAAAAAAAAATTTGAAAGACAGTTATCCACACACATTTATATGAGCAAATGAAAAGCATAATTTTTTGTCTGGCCTTCATGATGAGAAGTTCACAGAGGACATTAGTTTCAAAGTAGCATGCAATGAAAATGCAGATTTTTTTTTCATTTGCATGACCATTTGTCTTGATAGGACTGCTTGCACATTCTGATGATCTTAGAGGAAGAAACAAACAAACAAAAAAAAAGAATCTCTTATGAATCAAAACTTACCAATCTCTATCACATAAAAATACCATGTGCTGAAAAACAGTGGGTTTGATCAGTACATTATCTGAAGAATGACATGAGTGAAAAATCACAAAAAAAAAAAGGGAAAAAAAAAGAAAAAGAAAATAAAATTAAATGGCTACATTAAAAATTTGTACAGTCTCTGTGGAAAACATACGAAGTAGAAAGAGGACAAACCAGTTGATGAGGTATGTGAGAAAAACTATTGGCTCCACTGGGTAAGGCAAGTGTTCATTTTATTTACCAATGTCCTCTCAACAGTTAAAGTGAAATCCAGAATAAATACCATGTAAAAAACCCATAAATTACAGTTCAGTGTACCTTAACAAATCAATGCAAATTGATTGTCCTTTTCTTACAGTTGACTGAGATGTTTCTGTGCTTCATTGTAAGAACAGCTTGCTATTTTACTTTGTAAAGTTCTAACCTTAGTGAATCTTGCTGCTGATTTGGGCTGTTCATTATTACTTTATTTATCAACTTAGATTCTGATCTGGTCTACAACCCATCTAA